CCATCTTGAAAATACATCCACCAGCAAGGGACATATAGCACTACCAGGGAATAGCCCCGCCTTCTGCGTTTTCATTGAGAGCCATGCCAGCGCTGCGTGACTGAGAAGCCGAAGGAGAGGAGCAAGAGGCGCTTTGCTACTACCCCGGCACTACTGCAGCATAACAAAGTCCCACTCTTTGAGCATAATGCAGGATCATGCATATGCAGCATCACAGGAGACGAAATCCTCGTCGCCAAGAAAGCGCAAAAGGGAATCAAAAAGGCAACCAGACCGGCAAATTAAAAAAACAACAGTCAACATCAGGGTAGCCTTTCCCAGGTGGAAAGAGCTGCTGAAGGAGAAAGGTTTTAAAAGGGACGCTGTGATTGGCCTGCTGGCCCGCCTGTCATTTTTTTCCCAACAGGCAGGCCAGGCTGCTGTCAGCAGCGCAGTGATGTGAGGAGAGGGATGAGGTGTGTGAGGTTGAGCCACTTGTCAGTTGTCAAAGGACAAGACGTGATTGGTTTGTTTCAATTTACATCCGCCCCAACAGTCCTACGTTGTAAACACAGCCAGCATGATGAGAAGGGGGTTTGTCAACTCGCGTCAAGTGTGTCTGTGTAGGAGCCTGAATGAATACTCCATGAAGTATCGGATGACATGGTTTCATCAATGTTAACATAGCTTTTTGGTACACAGCAGCTACCGTTGTTGCAATACGTGTTTGAAAGAGTGAGGTGCTAGAGTGCGCTATCTGTTGGAATGCAATGTTCGAATTCAGCGTTAGATGGGAGAAATTCCTACACACTGTGGCTTTAATTTCAAATCCCAGTATGAAGAGTAAAATCCAGATCACCACTCAAAATGTATTATTTAAATACCTGTGTTAAATAATGTAGTTTTACAACATAAAGAGACAGAGTGAAGCAGAAGTTAAGCAATAGCAGAGAAAAAAACGTTTTCTTTATGGATGAATAGTATCAACAATTCTCACTCTCAAGATGTGAGTGTTACTGGATATGTAATAGTTTTTGATTGTGCAGAGTATTTTGTAGCCCTAAGGGAAGGTGGGTCTTCCCTTGCCTGCAACAGTCGCATTAGCCTTGACAGGCATTTTGAGAGAGGTTCTTCAGTTGGTTTCCTCATACATATGTGTTGTACCTTGTTTCCCTCTCTCAGAGTTGTTGAACATTGGTTGTATTCATAACCTTTATTTTTTAGTGGTACTCTGTTTGTCTCTTTTTTTTTCAGTTTCATTGTATTTTTCTTACCACAAATTAATGTAAACTAGATCAAAACCAATGCCAATCTCTCTGAGATCAATTATTAAAGTAGACATTCTGTACTGTAAAGTCTCTCTTAGGCTGAGACAACTTTGCATTGAAATTGACTTTTGAGACAATAAATGTAGCCTTGTGGCAGAATTATTTGACACTTTTTCTTAAAGCGTGTTTCCCTAATCCAATAAGAAGAAATCATAATTTCAAGGAATTTGATGTTAGGAAAAGACATATTTCATTTCCACTTCCTCCTGAGGTACATGAGGTGAACTTCAAAATTTTGAATATGATTTATGAAATTTAATTTGTACGTGAATAACCGTGCATTTTAGGAAAGGGAAATTAAAAGTCAGTGCATTCCTTGTGGAGTGATATGTAGTGCTGGCTACAGTCCAGGGAGACTGAGTTGTCCCCCTTAACAGCAAAGACAGTCAAATTTGGTATTTTTGTTGGAAACAAGGACGTTGACTGTGTTCTGAATATTGTTTTGTTACTGGGAAAGTTTTTCATGTATAAATTGCAGATACTTTGAGACAAAACCCAGTTTGAAACATTGGAAGGATGAGTTAAAACTCTTGACTAGATCACTGAAACTTGGAAAGCTTATAAGTTGTTTACATTGCTAGTAAATGCTTAAGTTAATTTGAGACAGCCCTGTTTTTTGTCTTATTAGTATGTATTTTTTTTGTTCTATTTCTGTCATTTGTATCTGTTCTTATATTTGTTTGCTCATACTGAGGCAGAAGCTATTTGATGAATGTGCCTTGTTTGTCTGTACTTATAAAGTTCAATAAACAATATAAAAATATAAATTAAAAAAAAAATAATGTAAGCTAAAACCTGTTTTACACACTGCGGTACGATAGGTGGCGGTATGGACCTTAAAGCTGCTACAATGATTGGAGAAGAAGAAAAAGAGGCCGACTGTGGTGTCGCGATAATTTACGGGAGCTGGATTCAAACGGTGGCGGTTTGACAGAAGACTGATCAGTGACAAGGTAACTAACTGTGCTCATATGTTATTCTTGTCCGTATATTGTTCATTTGTCCATACATATTCAAATAAATGTTATAAAGAGTTACTTAGTCGCCTGCTTCAAGGA